ACCAAATGACTGGTCACTATGATGCACACTGACCATCAGGGGGCAGATGCTCATCAGTGCGCTCCCACAGCCAACCTCCCGCAACACCCTCCCGCCCCCTGCCGGCCAACCTCCTGCAGCCCCGATTGCCAGCCAGGCTGAGGGACCCCGCCCGTGCATGAATTTGTGCACCAGGCCTCTGGTATAAATACAGTTTTAAAAGAACAAACAAAACAAAAAAAAACCACTGTGAAACATTTATTTTTGTTTTGTAGTATTAAGCATGATTAAAACCAGTGCAGAAAAATACAAAGTGCATTTAGTAAGAGGTGAGTATACTGTTTCAGTATTTGCTTCTGATAATTCAGTTAAGACAACAAATGCATAAGACAACGTTATTAACTCAAGGATGTAGCTGAAGAGATGGCATATTCTGTATGCTCTACTGGCCTCCAAAGGCATTCAAAGGATCGTCAAATATGTTGGCTACCTTCTGTTCAGATCTTGGTTCAGGTGCTGCCTGTGAAGAGCGACTTTTTGGTTTGGTTGTCTTAGCCTGGACACCAGAGAAGATATCATCTTTAAAAAGAAAGAAAAAGAGTTGCTAAATAGGCACACAAAAAAAGAAGAAAAGAAAAGAAAGGAAGGGAGAAAGAAAGAAAGAAAGAAAGAAAGAAAGAAAGGAAGGAAGGAAACAAAAAAAGAAAACATCTACACAAACCACCAAAGACTCAAGTCTGGTAGCAGAATGGGTTACCAAAAAAACACTACAATAGAGCCAAGCCTCTTAGATTCTGGTCTGCTACTAATTAAGTTTTATGATCACATACAAGTTCTCTCTGAACACTATTTTTCAGCTATGAAGGTATATTCTTATTTTGGAAAAAAGTAAGTATTCACACCAATAACAATATCAGCATATCAGAAAGATTACAACCTAACTCTTAATAATGGCTACCTCTAGGTTTGTTTCCCACTGTTTACATTTTCTGACGAGTATTAACCTATTACAAGAGGTATGTATTACTTCTTTTGTAATATGTCTCTTCTGCACCCCATGGAATGGGAAGCAGGTGGAGATGGAGCGCACAGCTTGCTTGGGGAACAGACCCAGTCTGGTACTTCAGCACCAGCTTTCTACCTGTTAAC